TGCACGCCAGGGCTGCCGCGCGTCCACCCCGCCGCGGCTGTGGGTGCCGCGCTCACAAGGCGCGCCAGGCCCTCTCGAATTTTCTTCGCCACGAAGCCCGCGCACGCCCCCGTGCTATGGTGGACCGGCTCCCGAGGGTCCCCTGCCACCTAGCCGGGTCTCGTGCCAGTCGGCCGGGCGTCGCACAGGGCAGAGCCTCGCGCAGCCCCGCCAGGCGCCCCCTCCCGGGCCGCCCGGCCAGCCAGGCTGGCGTCTTGCGCGCGATACAGCCCCCCCCCCCCCCCCGCCCCGCCCCTGTCTAGACGGCCGGTATCCCCGGGCGCCCGGCCGCGAGGGGGGAGGGCACGGCCACGCGTGGCCACCTCGCGCAGGGCGCGGGCGCGCACCCGAACAAGCGCGCGCACACCCGCACCCACATGCACGGCTCCAGGAATGTCACTGTCCGCATGTGTCCGCTGCCGGGCTCCCCCGTCGCCGGGGCGATGACATCTGTAAGGGCGGTCTCGCGTGCACATGCACGCCGGGGGTGCACAGAGGGCTCCGGCGGAAATGGGCCCCCGCCCCTCCCTAGCTGGGTGCCCCGCACATGGGGGCGTGGCAAGAAAAAAAAAAAGACAAGGCGGCGCGGCGGGCCACAAACAAACACCCCGCCCGGCGCGGGGGACCGGCGAGAAAACAGCACTGGCGCGCGGCGGGGGCCCGAGACACCGACGGCAGGGGCAGGAGGGGGGGGGGGGGGGTTTTACAGCCGCCGCCGCATGGTAGTTAGGTTTAACTTTCCGGCCTAGGTTCCGTCGAGCCACCCCCCTGTCGGGGCCTGCTTGCCCCAGTCTAGTCTCCCAAGCCGAGGGGGTCCGCAGGCACCCCCCTCCCCTTTGGGGGGGGGGATATCCCCACCTGGCCGAGCGGCAGCGGATGCGCCACCAAACGCGAATATATGCGACCGGCATTATAAAGTGGCCATTTGTGCCGAGCCCCACTGGTGAGGGGGATATATACAACGGCGCGCCTGGCGAGACTGCCGCGCGCGCCCGCCCTCCTCTCGAACCCCCCCCCCGCCCCCTTATACCTCGCTTAAGTTCGGGAAGCCAGCCGGCCGAGGGGGGTGCCGCGCTCCCGGGGCTTCGGACGGCTTGACATGAGAGCACGCACGCCCATCACGCGACATCGGGGAATAACATTGCGGCCACACTTTCGGCCTCACACCACCACGCCCCCGTGCACGCGCCCGGAATCCGTCGGCAGCCGGAATTCTTCACTCCCAGATTGCCGACGCCCCATACCCAGAGCCACGCTTGTTCCTGGAGAAGGAGATTTCGCGGCGGGGCCCACGCGCGGCGGCGCCAGCGCGGGGGCGTCCCTCGCCCGGCCCTCGGTGGCACCTGCGTGGCTCCGCCGCCTGCACAGTCCCCCCCCCCGGGCCGCGGGCGCGGCAGGGCGAGAGAGTGTCCTCCCCCGGCCCCGTGGCCCCTCTGTCCCCCCCCCCCAGAGCGGGCCGATTGTGGGGCTGGACAAGCCGCGGTGGCGCAGCCCCGGCGAGGCCCGCCCGCAGGCCCGCCCCAAGGGCGCCCGGACCCTGGG